TGAAGGGCTTGGTTATGAAGAGAGACAGCCTTTCCTCTGCAATACTTTGCCGTCTCCCACAGCAATGGCAGCTGGTAAATGTAATGATATCAGTAGGGCCACATGGCTCTTCTATCCATCACCAGAGCGGATAACCACACAAGGAAACCAAAGCTATGTCCATTAATGTATCTGGGCACAAAGCCAACAGAACGCAGATCCATAAATTTAGAGAAGTCCAGGTGAACTTAACACTAGTCAAGCTTGGCCTTTTCAGTAACTAAGAGGATGTGAGACATCACTACAGCTGGCATGGCAGCAGCCCTAGCCTTCTTAGTACGTGCTTATCCTCTTGCCAGGATGTGTTTGATAGTGTCACCTTGTTGTTTATCACTAGTCCTCATCTGGCATGATGGGCCTGTTCTATTTTGTTATGCAGAGCCATCCCAGCTAGCTCAAGGCTGTGCACATAGCCAAAAAACTTCACCAGCACACACAGTACCTCTACATACACCTATTTTCCAGCTCTTCCTTTACAGACAATCATCACAACCTAGAGTGAAGCAAGAAGAAAGGAGCACCAGCAGTGACCCTGAGAGAGCCATGTGAATCCATGGTGAAAAAGGCTGTCTGTGTCAGTCTACATGTTGGTGTGTATGTTTGGAAATGATGGAAAGACTGAGGATTTCCGTGAGAAGGAATGAAGCCAGCAGAATAAGAGTAGCAGTTTGACTATTCTACAATGAAAGTGCTTTAAAAATACCAAGTTCAAGACTTGCACAGACCCTTTCAATAATGCATCTGATGGGTCTCCACTTTCCTTCCTTCTACTTCAATAGGTTTGCTTCAGGCTTTACAGCTGCACTTGAAAGAGTTTATGAAGCGAGAGATCTCAGACAAAATTCTTGCCTATATGAGACAAAAGGAATGGAGGAGGCCACAAGGAGAAGAGCAGCATTACAAACTCACTTCAGCTCTTTCTAAGGCTGCATCTGCTCATGGTACAATCCCCCTGCTACCCTTGCTGTGTCACGGGGGCCAAGGGAACATATTAGAGAGATGCATGCACAGGAAAACAGTGTAAATCAGGATGTAGAAGTGGAAAGCAGTGGAAATTGGAGACAATATGAGAACAATTTCAAATCTCAACCTCAACAGAAACGGAAATGGTAAATTTGCTGGTAGGCAGTCAGCATAAGGAGAAGATCCAGAGCACACAGGGGCAAAAAAGAAGAGTTACCAAAAATGGGCTGAAGCATCTGCAGCAATTACAGAATATCAGTATGAATGTCAAAGAGATTTTTTTCCTCTCCCTTGCAGGACAGAACCTCAGCACCTCCTCTCACAGCTGTGTTCTAAAAGGATCAAAAAGTGCAGCTCTTCCCTGTCTGAAATGGTAGAGAACGTCTGAAAAACAACTGAAGCAATGAAGTATTTTACACACTGGGCAATCCAACATTTTTATAATGATCCTAAATACTTTTGGTGTGAAGAATTCCCTGTCAGTTCCTGCCAGTGTAGTACCTTCTAACAGCTCACAAATTGTGCTATCCCCCCTTTGTGTGAACGGTGCTCCATTTCCTGTGAAGGCTGCAAATGCATTTCAAACCATTTATTTTCTTTCCTTCTTTAAAATTCTATATATTCATAACTCATTGTCATTAGCACACCATTATTTACCTTGGTTCACAGGTGCCAATTGATATAATTGTATTAATAGATAGATGTAATAGCAAATAATCTTGTAAAATGTCTGATGGTACGAAGTAGTGATTACTACTAATGACATCTTATAGCACAACATTTTTCTTTCACACTGTAACTTGGAAATCCACAATGCTTACGCTTTTTTTTTTCCCCCTACGGCACAAGTTGTATTTTGCTTATGACATGACTGACTGTAAAGATGCCTGACTTTCTATCTCAGAATAAAAATTACTTTTATTTCCTTTAATACATCATGTTCAATGTTTTCAGGTTTTGTGCAGTTCAAACTGAAACCCAGCTAGAATCAAACGGATTTCTTTGACAGTGTGAAACTATCTAAGAACGTACCCCTGACCTTCTAGTAATTCATACAGTGTATAGCCTGTCCTTGCAAATGGTGCAGAATACACCAAGAATTATATGAACAGGCCCTGTTTAACACAGCTTAACCCTTAAATCCATTCCAAAAGGCACATACATAAAGGCTTCATCCAGCTAACCAGTTTCGCAAGACCTCCCTATGAACACTTGATACTGCATACCTAAATACTTGGATCACTCTGGAAAGACTAACTAGGGTAGTTATGTGAGGAAAAATTGATCTCTCAAGATTCATAAGAATCTCTTCTTGGAGATGTGTCTTTACCAAAGGCCATTAATGCCAGACCAAAAGGATGCAAAATAATCTTGGAGTCTGTATTAAGAACATGCAACACAATAAACCTGTCCCTATTCACATCTGCTTTTAAGACAAGATACAAAACGGCTGACACGAGGAGAAAGGTGTAGACGAACAAGCTAAGGAGTGCAAGTTCTGACACGGAGATCCTCTTTCACCAGAAGTTTTACTGCACTGGCCAACAGCTGGAGAGGGTGAGCCATGGGACATCCTGAGAGGGAGAGCTATATCTGAGAATGATGCAAACATGCTTCCTTTTGAAACGAGTGGTAAGCGAAGAGGGGCATCTTCCTTAGAAAAACTACACTACATCATTACTTGTCCAGAAGACCATGAAGTTTAAAAAACTCAGGGGTCTCCTGTCAGGATTTGGTCTCCCAGATCTTTTCTTTTTAGACTTGAACAAGGAAGAACTTAGTTAAAGGTTATTAAGTTTTGACAAGGCAACAAGTTATTGTAGATGAATGTTACTTGTGGTTAGTGACAACATACAGGTAGACAGCTTCACCTGCCAACTGATGGGTGTTTAACAAAATAAGGATAATAGGAATTGCACAAGAGATATATGGAGGTGATTATTTTCAAGAAAAAACGCATCCACATACTCAGATATCTTCCTCCTCCTCATGGAATCTACACTTCATATTTCTGTTTAGCTGATAATTTCATTTATGAGTTACAAAGCATTTATGTTGAATAGTACAGATGTTTAGTGAACAGAATGATTCATCTCTTCCTCTCTACTTTCTAACTGGGACAAAGAGATGCCTGCAGTAAGCGTGAGCTAGGACAGAAACATGTCTGTCATTAAGTTGTTACTTCCCAGATAATAACTACCCATTAGAAGAAAAATGCTGAAAGATTGCTGCCAACAGAACTCACACAGAGACACGCTTTCTAAAGTGATTGTACTCCAGTGACTTATCGTGTGTTTCTTTCCCTCTCACCAAAAGTCACAGTGCCTACAAAAGACCTGTTCCTTTTGAAAATCAGTGACACAGCCCCATTGCTTTGCATATGTGGGAAGTAAAACTCTGAATGAGTGTCGTGAATAAACCTCATACACACTTCGACTGATTTCAGAAGATGTATGAGAGAAAGTTTCAGGTTGGAAAGACTGAAAAAAAGTGTAAATCACCCTCAGGGATAAAGGATACCTAAGATAATATGGTTTCTTATTGACATTATATATCACAACCGAGAAAAGATTAATAACATCAGAATTTATAACCCTTGATTTCTGAGATTTTAACCCCAAAATTGCATTAACTTCACTTAGTTTGCAGAGAGTATTCTACATGAATTCCATGTACGTGGTCTATTTAGTATGTCTTACAAATTTCATTACCATGCAGTATGCTTGCTGATACGTAACTAAAGTGAAGTTACTTAAATTAAGCACCTGTTACACTCAATCCCAGTTTTAGTTATCTATACGGCATGAATATTTGCATGGTTTTATAGGAAAAACTAAACAGGAAGAAATTCTGGCAAACTTTTCCAGACTGCCAAAGGAATGGTCATACATATTTGCACATTAAGCCTACAGCTGCAGTTCTGTCTGTGCTGGTGCACTTCAAGTATGGCACTAACAGGACCACAAATTTGCAGGTTGAGTAAAAGTTGCCTGTCTCCTGCCCTTGCTGGCTCGTGTCTGTTTTGCATGTGACAGGTTTGTTGCTCCATCACTACCTCATTTTTCACTTGGAGGAAGGCAATGACATAGAGAACCCCAGGGACATTAGAATGCTCCATAAACATGATTAGTCCATTCAGCCTCTTCATTTAAAGCAAGTACCACATTGCTACCAACATCTGCTTTAGGCTGTAACGGGGCCCTTAAACACATCACGTCAGCCTGAATGAGCGTAGTCCTGTAACATCTATTGATTGTGCTTGCGTATTTGGCAGCTACAAACATGAAATCTCATACTTCGTGTCAGTTACGCTGTTGTGATGCTATTCAAATGGATTCCTTCGGGAGAGGAAACTTACTCACCTGGAGCCTGAGTTCTCAGAGATGAGCCTGTACCGTGTAAACTGTATTTCTGTGAGGTGGGCTCTGCATATTGGGGTGTGCGGTTCATAGGAGCCAGCAAACTCATAGCACAGGTATGTGGACTCCAAAAGCGGTAATAATGCAAAGATCTTCTAAAGGCCACCACTGAAAGGTCTGTATCTGTATTGTGTCTACACCACATGGTGATCTACTCTAGGTGATCGTGCTCTGGCAGGGGAGTTGGACTAGATGATCTCTAGAGGTTCCTTTCAACCCTTACCACTCTGTGACATGGGAAGGTGAATCACAGTTCAACTACCTTTTACACTTAAAACTCTTTTTTTCTGTTAAACATCTCTTTCTCAAGAACAGTAGAGTACCTAGAGCTAACTGCTCACTTGTGAAAAATTAACCACTGAAAATAGTGTCACATTTTTATGGGGAATGAGCCAATCAGTGTACAAATTGGTGATTTCCAACATGACACTGAGAGATACCAAAAGGCGCATTAGGATTTTAGCATATTTCTATCACGTGAAAACTTGGTTATGGCAATATCCTCTAGATGAGTTACCAAACAATCTTTATGGCTGCAAAGAAAGGACCATTCTTTATCTGCTTTAGTAACAACATTACCTGTTGAACATCCTGCTGGAAAACGCAGAGCTGCAGCCTTTGATGTAGCCGGACTTTCCTGTGTTGCCAGATGCTCTCTAGGCGCCGCTGGTGATGCAGGACTTCATGTACCACGTCCAACACCTGGTGAACAGCCTTGGAGTAGTTTGCAGTAGCAGTGAGGGATTCAGAATTCCCAGGGCTCAAGGGACGCTGTAGGACATCCAGCAAGGCTTTTCCATCCTGGCTCACCTGAGTGAAGAAATAGGTCTACTTCACTGCACTGATTCTTAAATATCCAACAGCTGACAGCGAACAGCCTAGCCAATTCTTTTTCCCCTGTGCAATTTCCTTATTTTAGTCAAAAACGAAGAAAGACCTCACGACATCTCTTTTTGACTTGTACTTACACATTCAGCACTTGTCTTCGCTTCCTATTGGGCCTGCTGTGTCACTCAGCAGGAGCACAGACTCACTGCTGGGATTGCATACAGAAAGAGATCCCAAGACTATATTACGTCCTGACATTCGGGCACTGAACATTCTTGACATATACTAGTTGATGACAGGTGGCATTTGCAACAGCGGGCCTATTTTTGTGAGGAGGTGGCATTTTAAGAAAACCACAGATGGCAGAGTCATTCATATTCTGTATGATGAGGGAGAGTCTTTTCTTCATAGGATTACTAAGAATGTATATACGTTGAGAAGTATGACATTCTGATGCTGTATTTCATTCAGTGGCAGTGAAAAATAAATCAGTGTATGATAGCGATTTTTTTTCCTCCCCAGAAACACCTCAGAGGGACCTACAATCTCCATTTTCAATAGGTTACGAAGCACGTTGGCAAATGCAAAGCCCTCTGCACTCGTGTGACCTTTTTTGAGCATATTTAAACACATATGCAGATGCAAAGGCATTTGGGCATTAAAAAACCAAACAGAATGCCAGATATTTTAATGCCAGATTTTGTCCTGGAACATTCCTGGACCATTTTCATATTGCAGGGGCAAAATGGAACCATAAAAACCAAATTGCTATTAACAAGTGTCTGCATGCATTCAAATCCTCTCCTCTTTCCAGCCTGATTTTCCCTTTGAAACAAACTGCAGCGAGAATGAGAAGATTTTCTGAAAGCATTTTTATTTCTATGCAATCACAATCACCAACCTTGCTAGAGAATGGCTCAATGAACGGTTTTCATCCAGTTTAGATTTTGAACGTTATCAAAGTTGAAATGCATCTGAAGGACCTCCAATGCTCATTTAGTTCTAGAAGTTTCTTCTTCAAACGCAGCAAAAGCGTATGTAATACACATACCTGTGTCTTTTGGCAAGCCACGCCACATCCCAGTCTGTTGCAGGAGTGCGTTCTGGTGTGTTTTCAGAGAAATCAAGAGAGATTTCTACTAGCAAAAGTGGGAGTCAAATTGCACCATACTATGTGACTATTAGCTCGGTTTGGGCAAATCCTTGAAGATTTTTTTTAAATATTCAAGACAATTTGGAATTAGATCAGGAAGTAACTGCAGAGCCCATAAGGAGTGGCTTTCCATACTCAAATTCAGACCAACTGGAAGAATCTGCACATGCTGAAGGCCTGCTGGACTCACAGAGTCAGCGACTGTACTTGCCAACAGCAGTGGATTGTGGCAATATGAGGGAGGATTTTAGGTGGAAACACTGAAGAACAGGTGTTACCTTGGCAACATTATTGAGGTGCCAATAGCTGTGAGGTAGGAAGAAGCGGCTTCTAGACAGGGAAGGAGACAAGCCGTACTAACTACATGCTATTTTATCTCTGGGGAGATAATCGGCAACAATTTAACCACCAGGAAGAGAAAAACAAGGCTATGCACACACTTGGAAGCAGGTTATCAGACCAGAAACTCACCCTTTGCACTGGCTAAAATCAGTGTGCGAACTCTCTACATTCCTGTTACCGGCCTTAGGGCTTACAGATGGTCTGAATCTGTCCCTGGGCGGTGTTAACAGTGCTTTTAGTATAGCACCTGCTGATTTACACTGACAGAAATCACAGCACAATCAGGACTAACAATAAAGGTTCAGAAGTTTACCAGTGAGAGATATGGAATTGCACAGACAATATGACAGACATGCTTTACTCAAGACAACTTTCCTGGATACTTTGTGCCATAATATAGGCCTATTCATACCTACACCATCTCCGAAGCACAGGCCCTTGATGTCAGTTTTTTCTTCCCAGTGGTATAATCCCGCAATTCTTTCAATTTCAGGGGTCAGATCCTTGGGTCAAATATTCTGTATACTAATTATGACTGATCAAAACACCAGAATAAATTCAGTCCTCTTACAAAAAGGTGCTCTTCCAGAGCTAGGTGAATATGGCCAAAAAGGCCTTTGCAATAAAAACCTTCTGTGGTAGGAGCAATGCAGAACAAAAAGATTGTTTCAAAGGCAACAGCTTGTACGCTCCTGCTTCATCTGAAGCTGAGACAGGACAATGTTCTCCCAGATCTGTGCTGTAAGGGAAAGTGTGTGTACACTTCCGCATTCTCTCTTACTCCTTTTTTGAGGCTTACTCCTTTTGAGAAGAAGGAACAGCTTCACAAACGGAGAAGCTACCCACTGTGCTCTTTCAGCCATTACCACCTTCTCCTTGTAACTGCAAAAATAAATCACCAAATCTCTTTTTATGTGAATCTTTTGAATTTTTCAAGGACTGCGCAAGGAGACAAGCATCAACAACCCTGCTCAGTTGCACCATTTCACTTACGTCCCACTTACAATACATTTTTAAGTAGTGCAAAAGTCTTAAACTGAATGGACCTGCATCCAGCATGACTTGCAGTCCCTGTAGGGTGTAAGTGCCAGCACTGCATTTGTCCAAGCAAGTTTGACCATTTCTCACTTATTTTGAAAAATACAGAATTGCTGCTGGACTCTGTGGGAAGGTTTAACTCACCAACTGACACAATACCCATACAAGCTCCTGTCATGTGGTGATATTCCTGTGTTTTGGTTTCATGGCAGGAGAAGGGCTAGGATGAGCAGTATGCCAATAATTCTGTAAGAAGTTGCGTGACCTTGGGTGAACCAAAAAAATGATTTTGTTGTGCTAGCAGAATAATCTTCACAGATGCTGCATACATAGCTAGGGAATAAGTTAAAATCTGTAGATAGCCTATACAGTGGGTCAGAAAGACCTTCAAAGACTTGCAAGCAACTAGAGTAATGGTGCCATCTGTGAAACAGCTACAATTTGCACTTGGAAAAAAAATAAATGCGTCATTAGAGCAAATATTGCTCCAAATACTCCTCTGGGAACAGACAGCAAAGTGCAGTTAATCAAGTCATGGTGAACAACTCAACCAGACTCAAGCCTGACTGGAGAAAACCTCTCTCTCTTCTTCCTTATCTTCACCAAACCACTACAGTCCTCAGTAGGGGTGTCCCACGTTTGTCTCCTGCTGATCATCCACTAGAAACACTGGTGGAACAACATAAACACAGCCCAGCTACAGATATCTAGAGGAACTCTTTTTGCAAGAGGAGAATTTGCCAAAGTCACGTATCTCGTGTATGTCCTCCCTCCAGCACTGTTCTACTCAAAGTAAAAGACAGAGCAACACTTGATTGCCCAAAGAAAGAAGGTCTGTTCTGCCAGCAGCTCGGCTGAGGGCAGGAGGAGATTGGCTAGCTGTAGATTGCCTATCAGGCGCAAGATCTCTGCCTCCAGTATTTCTGAGCTTCACTCAAGTGCAGTAAATGAAAGAAGGCAAATAATTACGGCTATGACCATGGTGTGATGGAAAAAACGTCTCCCTAATATTCTTCGGTTGTCTCTTAGGTTCCTGCAGTGAATCTGAACTGCTTTGTTACACTCTGTAACAGAAGAGAATAGGCCCATATATCCTATTAAATGTTAATTAATACCCTATTAAATATGCAAATTAAATGGTTATTCCAAGAACTGTTCATTATTCCAAATCTCTTAGAATTCTAGAAATAGAAACAGAGATTTTCAGTGACTCCACAGGACAAGAAAGGAAAGAAAAAGCTACAATTTTCATCCCACCATAGAGAGCTCTGAGGGAAGAAACATAATTTTCTATGGGCAAGGGGCATTATCTAGATCGTGGAAATAGGCATGTGGATAGGAGGCAGGACTCCCAGGTCTAATCCAGGCTTTTCAGCTCACCATGTAGTTGTGGGAAAAGGGATGAACATTTCAGAAATAACAGACTGTAACATTTCTGGCAATTCTACATACTATTTAAAAATGCACTTATTAGTAAAATAATATAGAAATGTTTTAAACAGCTGTGTGTGACAAGTTACAGCTTTCTAAGGAAGCATCAGCAAAAGCAATACGCGTGTTAAAGACTGCTTTTGGAAATGAGTTTTAAATGCATTTTCATTTCACAAAAACGAAGACTGGGGCTAATAAACAAAATGCCATTTTCAAACACTATTATTTGGTATTTAATCCCAATTTTACTTAACTTTTAGAAATAGATTTTAAATGCAATCATAAAAACCTTAGTTTTACCTGACTGGGTACAGGTATAAAATTCACAGCTGCAGCTAGAGGACTGTCCTGTGTTCCTTCACACAACCTGCTTTTTCTGAGAAGCCTAAGTATTGAATAAAGAATTGCCCTTTGTGATTGCAACCCAGACTTGCTCATTCTAACTGACTAACTCCCAAATTCTTGCAGGTGTTTGGAAAATAAGAGATTTTGAACATCCCTGACATTCATCAAGGTACCTGCACAACTTCACTGTGTATACATGAGCACCTACCACCAAGCCCTGATCAGTAAATACTCTTCTTTTCTAGTTTATACTATAGATTCTTCCAAGAACATGATGACCAGAGCAAGGGTTGAGCATGGAGGAGAGTTGTTCTATTCTGTTCCAGACTCTTCACTTGGTAACTTACTAAGTATAGCAAGCACTATCAGTCCTCCTGTCCAGCTTAAAAAACTCTGCAAGGAGCAAAATCCCTTGATCAGCAGAAAGACAATCAAGCACAGCACAGGGAAATGAAAAATACAACGAAACCCAAGCATTCAGGAGATCTGTGGATTACTTTCCAACAAGCTTCAGTCTTGGAGACATGAATAGCAGAATAGAGTGGATAAGAATGACAGAATATTTCAGGTTGGAAAAGACCTTTAAGATCAAGTCTAACCCTTAACCCAGCACTGCCAACTCCACCACTAAACTACGTCCCTGAACATCTTGTCCATAAGTCTCTTAAATCCCTCCAGGATGGTGACTCAACCACCTCCCTGGGCAGCCTGTTCCAATGCCTGACAGTCCTTTCAGTGAAGAAATTTTTCCTAATATCCAATCTAAATCTCCCCTGACACAACTTGTAGCCATTTCCACTTGTTCTATCGCTTGTCACTTGGGGGACCAGCCCTCAGCTCTCTGCACCCTCTTTTCAGGGAGATGTAGAGAGCGATAAGGTCTCCCCTGAGCCTCCTCTTCTCCAGGCTAAATTCTTCATTCACTTCCTACAGCCTGGAGTTAGATCTGACTCCTTCTTTGAAAAAAGATGCAGAAATGGAAAGCAGAACTCTCTCATTTAGAAAAGCTAAGCTCCAAAAGGCAATGCCTGTTATCACTTAACAGATACTCACATTCTTCTCTGGGAAGCACATACCTCTGTGTAGGCCTGTGTTACTTGTTCATACAGGGTCTGATGATGATGGATAGCCAATTCCAGGTCTTGCATTTCTGAGGGGAGGCCTCCTTCACTGCACATTTTGCACCAGGCATCCACACCTGAAAGGAACTGAAACAATTCCAGGAACAATGAGCAAAGTGACACAGAACAACATCTCAACATTAGAAAATTTTGTCTGTAGAGTTCCACATATGATTGCAGTAAGGACTGAGGAAAATGAACAGTTACAAAGGAGTCGTTTTGGGCACCCTGCAACAGCACATTCCAGTCACCCTCAGTAGTTGGAGAATACCAAGATCCAAAAGAATGTTTTCTGTTTCTTCTGGATTAAAAACAAATGCTTCTTTAACCAGGCCCAGAAGACACCCATTCTACGAGGCTCTGCACACCATGCAGAGGGGCTACAACATTGCATGCCAAAAAGTAAGGCTGCAACATGTTTAGAAAAAAACAGCATGAGGCACAAAAGGACACAGTTACAGCTCCAGATGGATTTGGCATTGTCTCAGCTGCTGACCTTCCCTCAATCACTTACCTGTCCCCTTAATGCTACTAATCTGAACAATAGAAAACTCCCATTAAAATCAATGGTGAGATTCATTTCAGGTTCCCAACCCAGGGCCAGCTCAGTGGGATTGATAACAGGATAACCAAGGCTTTAAACCCCTGGGTCACGCATTTGATTCTGGCCCCGGTCAGCAGTGAGCAGATACCATAACCATCTGACAGCTTCTAAGCAGCCAAAGCAAAATGAGCTGCTTGTCTCAGTCCACGTCCTGGTGGGCAGACATCCACAAAAAGGGAGGGAAAAAAGCATTGCCATTGCAATTGATATGGTTTAGCACCTTGGTTGGAAGCCTTAACAGACAGCCAGAAACTGGACAGCTTTGGGGAGCAGAAGGATGGAAAAAATATTTTTCCACTCTTAAAGGCCTCCCGAGCAGTGCTGATGCACTTTGGCAGAACAAATTGGGGAAGCTCTCCTGGGTGCTGCCTGTTCTGTAAAAGAAAGGAGTAATTTTGCCTCTAAGGTTCCCATCCTGGTTTTTCCTTTAAGTAGGGCTTACTTCAGTGACACAACTCACATGTTCATATTTTTGTCTGTACTATTGCCTAATACCACCTCATTACTTCTCATTAATATTTTCTCTCCCTCCATCTTCTGTTAAACCAGCCTGCCATACTTTGGGGCTATTTATAAAAAAGAACAGCTAATTATACAACAGATGCAGTGTCCTGCAGGGTGAACGTATAATGCCACAAAGCCATCCCCAGGATCACAGCTTCACCCACTCCTGAAGTGTTCACCTGTGGCTTGTTAGTAAAGCACTCCCTTACGGCATGAAGGGCTGGGAGATTCAAAGTGAAGAATTTAAATTCAACTCTGGCATCAGCATCCTTTTTTATTAGCAGTGTCAAGCTATTCACCACGCTGCTGTGTAATCAAGGCTATAAAGTGTTTGCATTGTAAACACTTCTTTTTGGTGCACAGAGTCAGTGACAAAGAGGAATTCCTAAAGCTTCACGCCTACAGTGTACAAATCTACCAGTGAAAACTGTGCTTTCTAGACGACTGGAGGTAAGGATGGCAGGTTCTCTTGGGTTAGTTTGACTCCTGATCTATTGAACCTCTTCAGATGAAATTCCTGAACACCCCTGCATAAAGCTGAAGTCATATTTCGTGCCAAGGCAGTGGAATTCACAGTATTCCCTATGCAGTTTTAAGAGCACAGAGCTGAGATCAAACCCTTTTGGGGCTGTTACATGAACCTCTTGGTCAAACCATGAACAAAAGACCTTTACACCTTATAGACCAGCGCTCCTGGAATCACACTGTTACGGCTCTTATCCAAACTGCTAAATTCTATCAATTTTAGTACAAGCTCTTATACTCATGTTAACTCATATGCTGCCATATCCCCAGACTATGATTTGCACAGGTCAGAGAAGCCCCGAGAAGATCCTACACACATAACCATATTTTCACCTTGTTGTCTCACAGCTACATCTCTTTTGCATATCTTCTGTACATAAGAAAAAAATCACAACAACAATTACATCAGTAATGTCACTTCTGCCACTCACAGGAGCAGCTGACGTCATCCGTTTTAAGAAGTTTTCAGAAATGCAGCCTCTCAGTGTTTCACTCTGATAGCCTGGAACAGGGCATGGTGGCCTGTGCTGTGTGTGTAGATCCATGCAGGGAGAGGAAAGGTTTTTTTAAAGGATTTTTGCAAAGTGTTAGTTCATACCACAGGACTATTAATTTGAGTATTTTGAAAAAAAGCGGCTACATTAATTTTCATTACCTGTCATACACCGTGGCAGACAAAAACTTTAATAAACATAACTATGCTAGAAACATTCATATCACAAAAATCACCATTTGTTTGCATTGAAAAAAAGATGCATTTAAAACTCTAAATTGCTGACTGTTAGGTTGGAACAGGAGCTGTTACCATCCACTGGATACTCAATACCGTTTAAATTAATTGCCTAAATTTCCACTTAGCCCATAGACTAGAATAGCTCCTGTTTGGAACATAAAAGCTGCTTAAATATGATTTGAAATGACAGGCTCCAATAATTGTCTGTGTTTTTCAAGACTTCAGGAAAGATTAAGAAAAATGTCTCCTAAAAAACCAAAAAAGCCCCTAAAGTACCTTTGCATCTCTAATCCAATCCAAGAGAAACTTTAGAGTAACGACCTACACTTTCTCCTGACTCACAACATATTCACCTAAATTGCAAATTCTCTATTAGGTGAGGTAATGATGGATTCCCAGACCACTTCGTACTAGCTTTCCTCAGGGACTGCTGTGCTGTATCACATGGTGGCTCCAAAACACAGCTCCGGCATTTCTGTGGTTCAGATTTCCCCACATTTTTTGAACAGCCTTTCTTACTGCTTGCTAGGCCTCTGCATGAAAGCTGCAGGATAACCAGGGTTGTTCTCCTAGGGCCTGGAGAAATTAAAACAAAACTCTAGTGTACTTTCATGCTCCAGAATGGGAAAGAAGGGAAGAAGGCCATGAAATTGTTTTCCTCAGTGATCTCCTGATGCTCTGGAATTTTTCATATGAGGCTAATTGTATATTCCCTGTGTTGTTTCTGGAATTTCCCTAACAAATGCAGAAGTTATCTTGGTCTTAACCCCACATCTTATAGATGTCAACTGGCTTTTCCTTTCCTCCTTTCCCTCAAATTCTTCCTTTTTTCTTTTCCTCTTTTTCATTTCCTTTCCTCAAATAGGGGAGTTCAGGACGTGCTCAGAGAGTTCCAGGCAGAGCAGTAGTCTTCCCTAGTTGGGGAGGAAGTTAATCTGAAACAAATGGTCAGGGCTCAGTCTTCAGAGAATCGGGATACGGGTCTAGCATCTGCACCTAACAGCTACTGCCGTACATCACAATTCTGCTGGTGCACTTCGGAGGGTAGGCTCTGACCCCGAATTAATTGCCTGAGGTCTCTTGGCTGATTGAAGACATTAGTTTGTTCATTCTGACAGGATCTGTAGAGAGAGCATTTTACAAATACTTCAGCACACTTTCAGAGATTACATCCAAGAAAGGGAGGACACCCGGTTTGCCTGCTTCCCCCATCTGGCAGTCAGTGGGCTGGAATCTCATCTGGTGTAAATCAGCACAGCGCTCCTGAAATCACAGGGAGATAAGGCATGTGTTCCTATGCTCTCTTGCAACTTCGAATAGCCTCAAACATGCCTAAAGATACAGAAACAGATTCTCTTTTGCATTAGAACATCTCCACACTAGCAAAGCTGGGGCTGGGGCAAGGGGGAGAGGGGGAAGGGGGGCAGAGAGAAAAAGAGTTAACAAAAAAAAACCCAACCCACCAAGAGATTTGTAGCAGGTGGAATTAAGGGACATTTGGGAAACACCTCCACTGAATATCCTAAGTTGCACCTTGACCTGGACGTAGTGATTGCTTTAAGTTCAGTTTACTGGCTTTCGATCAAACACACATGCTGAAGGAAGCCTGGCCAGAGGCTGAGTTGGCAAGATTTGTCTTTTCTTTCCTTTTTTTCCCCCTTTTCTTGATGATGGTTTAGTATGTACAAATTGTGTTTTAACAAAATTAAGGAAGGCACACGTGCACACACACAAGAAAAAGAAGAAACAAAGAAAAAAGAAGAAAAAAAAAGCAAAAGCTTTGATCCAGAGACTCATTCAGCCGAGTTCCATTCAACATGCCACATGTATCTGCTGTAATAGCCAGGAAAGCAACGTGATTCTGAGGCACGTGAAGACAGATGTGAGGTTCAATTCCCAGCAGGGTTGACTCAGCTTTCATCCGTCCAAGCCAGACAAATAGTATTCTGTGAAGTTTTCTGTGTGGGGTCTTTAGGAAGAGACCTTGAAAAACAAGTTGCTTCCTGTTCAACTTGCATATTAGAGAGATTGTAGAGCTTTTCAGAAATCTCTGTCCCAAGCCAACAACCTCCTTGCAGGCTGGGGTGTGCCAAAGGCTGAAAGATTACAGTCCTAATAGACTTGCTTCCTGTTGGCATTCACAGAGAACTTCAATCAATAGGAAGGAATGAACAAAGGGACTGTAGCAGCTTATCGCACTGGAGAAGGAAAGAATCTGTGTATCGGATCAGTATGGGGGACACAGAGGTAGACTGTGGGGGAAATGGTTGGATCTGCAACAAGACTACCTTTACTGACAGAGCAAAGGGAGCAAAAAAGGATTTGACTGGGAACAGAGGAAATAGTGGGTCTATCTACATCTTTGCTTCCGAGATTTAAGCCTTACTTATTGTAAAATAATGAAACCCTGATTTGAGTTTTAAAAAAAAAACATGAGCGATGCCAAATAAGAAAGAGTCATATTTGGAATGAGTGTTTGCTAGACAACAGACTGAGTTATAGACTAAATGCCAAACACCTCATTTTTTAATACCATACAGCGGTCAAATGACTAAACTATTAGCATTCAAGCCACTGGGTTATCCTACCAGACTTACTAAGCAAGGCCAAAATTTTAGTCCTCACTAATGGACACACTGACTCCCACATTTCATTTTTGCAGCAGTCTGAGTTTACAGGTTTCACATCAGCAATTCTCTTCTGCTGATTTGTCTCTTACTACAAGTGAGGAGCAACTGTTGTTCACAATTAGCAAATTCTCCAGTCTGCCTAGGAATGAGACTGGCTTCTGTCAGGAAGCACAAACTTCAGTTCTTTATGATGAGGTACCAAGGCAGGATTGGGTTTTTCAGACCCATCTATACAATTGCGGAGATAAAAGACCCAGAGCCAAAAGTGACATTAGTGTAGCTTTTTTTTTTTTTCAAGTGGAGGGTGAGGCAAAATACCCACTTGACAGTGTTCAAAAGGTAGGAAGATAAAAAACCCCACAAACATTCCCCTCTAGCTTGACAGACAGTTCAATACAGCTTTCTGGTTTATTGCCTTTCATGCTACACAATACCTCAGCAACTCCTCAAATTGCAAACAAGACTGACCCTTCAGAAAAACAGGGGATCACTCGTAAAAATTAAAGGAAAAAAACCCACAAAACCCGAAGAAACCAAAACAAACAAGAACTGATACATTAATGAACCTTAAACATTGTCATTGTGACTATAGACTGGATGAATTCTTTTTCATTTTACTTTATGAACACAGGATGACTGACAACTATTAAAATGAAGACTGTACCTAAACACTACAGTGTCCATCGTACTGAGATGAAAGTACTTGCACTAGGCAGCTCCTTGGTCTATCAGTCCTGTAAGAGCCACTGACTATGCTTACATGAGTAAGTGCCCAGTAGGGTGAGTAATTGCACTATGCTATGGCCTCTTGTCAAGAGGAAACGCAAAAGAGATCCATTATAATTCTACAGATAGAAACAAACAATGAAGAGAACCTTTACTGCTTGAGCTAAACTTTTCCATACATATATACCGATTAATGAGGCACAGTTTCTGGATTATCAGTTACAATTTCTTCTTCAGACACTTGAAGTATGGGTCATTTTGTAAACATCAAGCACACCCACTCCGTAGCTTTGATATTAACTACTTGGAAAAACAAGGACATGACAATACTGAAGAGAGTCCCAAAGCGGTGTTTCACTGGAAAACGAACGTAACCAACACACAATCAAAGCTGAACCTTAGGTGGACCTGGTTTAGGTGTAAAAAAAAAACCTCATAGGGTTTAGTCACTGACATATTGTAACACTCTTGTAGCTATGAAATTATGGACCAATTCTGATAGTCATTAAAGACACAAACCAGTTTTGGGACACAGAAAATTTCCTTGGATGTTCCTAGTTGTCTCTGAAGTCTCTACTTAGTGAGGTCTAACAAAGTTTGAGTCTATGGATAACATTACAAGACTAGGTGGTGGAATGAATTCCACAGGTTTCATTAACAATTAAGTGGTTTAGCTCATAGACCCATACCAGCAGTCAGTTTCTATCCCATGTGTGACTATTCCTGTGCACATAGCACACGTGCATGAGTGCAGATACGTACTGATTTCCTAACCATAATAATCCTGAATTTTATCCACAGCACTGAAGAAATATTATGCAATAAAAATAAGGCAGCACGTTACTGCACCAGCATGCTTGCTGCACACATGATCAGATCCCCTCTCATCACAAAGGCATAAACATATTTTCTTACCCACTCAGGGAAAAGGTACCAGTTCAGGGGGGAAATGCTACTATTTGTTTTTGAGACAGTGATCCACTACAAACCAGGCTCTTAAACTCACTGCATACAAGCCAAAAGCCATCAGCTAATAATTGCAGCATTGTCATTATCGAAGGAGCAGTGGAACATTTTGCCAGTCAGGGAAGCAGCTCACCTGTTCAGCTTTCTGGTGAAAGACAGCAGACATGGCTAAGATGGTGCTGCGCTCATCCAGAGCCGCCGCAAAACTCTTCCACTCTTGATCCAGCTGGCTAGATATTTGTTTAATTTGCTGGGAAGCATAATGGCCTGCCTCGGAAAGCCTTGATGCAACAGACATGATCCGATTGATGTTGACATAGGCATTCTGAAAATTAAAAAGCACATGTAAATAAAGAGGAGGAACCATGACCACCCTCTGCCTTCATTACACATTCCAAACACCACCAGTTGGAGCAAAGCCGAGCAGTTCAGTGAGAACAATCAACCACCCGCCTAAATATGCATCAATAGGAGGCATACTACCTTCCACCCTAAAAATACATCCCTCAGGAATCTTTTTGTACATCTATGCCATTATCCAAGACTGTTATCACCCCTTCTCCCCTTGACTTTATTTATGTAAAACTAATTTGGCATACTTCAGCTATTTACTCACTTCTCAGGGTCTACTCATTGCTTCTATTTTATTCTTGATATTACTGTTGCATTTATTCATATTTCTGGATGCTATATCCACATATTTATAAGTGAAATGTTTGCTCTCTGTCCTGTGAGAACTCTCTGACAATCCTTTATAGACATGCAGTGTCAACAAATGAAAGTCTTACAGAATTTCAAATGGCTCATAAGGATATTCTATAGAAATATGAGAGTTCCCATAGAAATGTCTATTAAATTATATTCTTCAGTTAAAATGTTATCTTTTCTAAAGGTTATTTTAAGCTGTTCTCCAGCAGAGAGATCATTTAACTACATTCTGAATTTAGAAGGATTCAAAGAACCTACTAAGAAAGTAATATTTTCTGTTCTTTCATAATAATTTTCCATGGTGGTTTTTAATTCAGCCTTGAAGCAGTGGAAGGATAAGTTTTTCTCAAACTGGACTGTGGACAGCAATGTAATTGCATTACAATACGCCCGTTCTGCATAGGAACTGTAAACCTGAAAACTAAGAGCCATCATGACAATCTTACGAAGATGCACCATCAAAAGACAAATGACAGCTGTCTTGTGGATTTCTGGAATGTCATTTGATATAAACACTCCTCCTTCCTCTTTCTTCCTCACCGGAGGAAAGAAACACCTCAGAATCTGAGATGTTTTGCTAATGTTGACTCACTGCTTTCTCGTCTCGCCGAGGTATTTCAAAAGAGCTTCAGGAATTCCAGAGAATATAATCTATGAGATCCTCATGCACAAGGACAGACACAGCCCTGATGATTTTAGCAGTACTATTCATGGGCAAATAATAAATCAGAGGTGGAAGTGTTTGTTGGCGCAGGATCTCATCCTAGTGAGTGGGAGCACAATGTGGAGAGGTGACTGCCAATCCAAACATGAAACACAACAGAGCACTGCCAAGGCAGGCACAGGTCCAAATGAAGTTGTGAAGCAGGGCAGAGTATGTCTGCAGAGTGTGTGGGATAACTATGAAGCACACTCATCACACCTGTAGGTGCTAAAGGAAAGAAGGATGGGGCCGCAGCCCTTACAGCCACTCTGCCCTCCCTGGTAGAACCTATGACTGTGGCAGCTGTCACAGATCTAAAGCAATACCCAGCCTCCTGTTTTGGGGTTTTTTCACCCCCTTATCACAGAGCCTTTTCTTAAAGATTAGGTTTGGCTCAAAACTGTCAGATTAATTTTAGAGAAATAATTCTTTTTTTTTTTCCAGTACAATTAGATAAACCTATCAAGGTTGCTCTGGAATTTAAAGTATACTTAGAAAAGGATATTATGATTTGGAATTTTGACAACCAGTCACACACAGGTGGCTTCCTTGTGTCTTCTAGGACAGAAACTGTAATTTACACTGAATATTTAAGCCTTTCTCCCAAAAAGCCTTCTTGACTGAGCCTCAACCCAGATCATTTTGCAACATTTCAGGTCAGCTCGTCCGGTGAAAAGCAGTGTAGCATCACTACAGTTGCTAAAGCTTGAATGAGTTGCACCAAATGAAGACACGGAACTTTGCCGGGTTTGAAGGAAGACTAAAGTTGCTGAAGAAGTTTTAATGTAAAAATTAATTGCTTTTATCTTGTTTTTATTTATTTATTCCACCCCCAAATTATCTCAGCCATTGCAATGCAATGAGCATGGAGGAAAACAACTTTAAATTCCTTGGATCCACACAGTTACTGTATACAGATGTATTAACTAGCAGAAGGGTAAAGGTAAGATTAGCTGAAATACAGCAGATGTTCCTAGAGTCTGTTTTATAAGTTAGGGGAATTTATATATTGTCATGTGTTATATTTTTATAGAGATGAGTATTTTTGTGGATGAAATTTGACTTTCCTAGATGAGAATTTTTCATGGAAGTGTACCACCCTGTCCTGTAGCCAACGCTCAAACTCCATACCTCTCCCAGCACAATGCAAGGAGCATTTTGGAAGTCACCTGCTTACACCTTCGTTCTTAGTGCACCAAGCAGAACTGTCTCAGGAAAGAGAGACTCCTGAGCTTGCCCTGTTGCTTTCTGAGCCGTGAGTGGATCCAAGTGCAACATCAGAGGTGATCTGCTCTTCTGTATAGCTCCAACAGGAAGTGCAATGGAGATACCTCCTACTTCTGGACACAGGTGTTCTTTTGTGCTCTTTATCTCCACTTATCTGTCCCACCTCAATGAAGCAGGGACATTGAAGTGGGGCTTAGACACGTAAGACTTACCCAAGGTCTCACAGAAAAAGACCAAGCAAACACTTGGCTAAAGATCTGGAACTCGGGATAGCACATCCTATCAGACATAACACACTTTAGAATCTCAGGACCTTTACCCAGGATCACTATTATTGGGAAAAATAGGATCTCTGTTGTGGATCGAGTTAAAATGCAATAGGGCTTCAAGGCACTTCAGAATTTGGTTTCAGGAAAAAAAAACACACTTAATTGACTAGAATCCAAGAAATGCAAGACTTTTCCACCTTGAAGTAGAATAAAAGTGTAAGCCCCTTCTTTCATCTTTATCTACCGATGTGTAATGTTCTCAATAAAACTGAACAAAAATCCATGCCACCAAAATTCAACTGTTGACATTTCACAAAGTTAAACCTTCCTTTCCCTCTGGTTTGTTTACCTGTAAAAACTGCAGTTTTTAAAAACTGACATATTTCTATGCCACTATTATATAAATTTTTTTTCCTATTAGGAAATAAGTTAAATATAGCAACTAATATCTGTTACACTTTTTCCCTTAGGCTGGAAAATCCACTATTAGAAAGTTCATAGAGAGTCCCACTTTAAATATAACCTAAGGTTTCCCGCCCTCTCCCCCCCAAAACAGAGAGATGTCCCCAAAAAAGGCTGCAGGGATCATTGATTTAGGGCTATATAGGACTACAATTGGTTGAATAATGAGAAAACAATACATTCATGTCTAGAAGCAAGGGTAAAAGCACTTTAGTTGACATTCTGCCATAGTGCCACCAGGATACACCCAAATTTTGGCTAAAATATCACAGCATTGGAAAACCTTTATTTTACATGTATTTGCAGACTTTCCAAAAGTACTCCCTGTGTTAGAGTTATTTTTATATTGACTTCATTTCAACTTTGAAACTTTGTAGACAAAAAAGGGGATTTTTTGCCTTCCACTTGACTGGCAAACAAAAGAAAAAAACTCCCCAGGTGTACATCAGCATCATACCATGCAAGAGCTTAGGAAAGCCTTGCGCAATGCCTTGTAAGTGCACATAACCCTCTTTGTCCACCAACTCTTAGTCCATTTCTGCCACCTACCAAGGCCGTGACTCTGGTCATCAGTGTCTGTAACACTGCTCTTACTTCCAGCAGGAGTGATCCCTGCTAAGGTCCCTAACACCTGGTAGGGTAACAGTCTGCCATGCCAGCAACAAGCAGGGACAGCGGTGGAGTTTCAGTTGTGGAATGATCTCCTACAGGGAGATACACTAAGTCAGCCCTGATCATCTAGTGGGCATGCTGGGAGATCTTCCCTCTTAATTAAACCCTCCAACTCTAGCTGGAACAATACTTTCCTCTAATAAATGTATAAAAAGAATACCTTACACTCACAAAAGAGAAATTAGCAGTGAGAAGCATTAAATCTGCAAGGAACTTGCCATGTTCATCCCATTTACTAGAAAACTGGTTGAGATACTGTGACGGAAAGCAGTGAAGGTGGGCTGCAAGAGAAGGGTTCTGCAGAGTAATGGAAGGTGAAATTTGATTTAAATTAAAATAAAAACTAACCAGCTTTCACTGTGTTACTGTGAGTTTAAAAACCATCTGTGAAATGAACCTAATACATAAATCCAAAGAAGAATGTTTCAGTGACAAAATAAACTCCTGAGACATCTTTAAGACCTTTAAGTTTCTATAAGACCAGTTATATATAGCCTGCTGCAGATTAATACGGTGGCATTTTAGCTCAGCCTACATACAGAAAAATATCATTCATTTACGATAAATGTTGGGATTTTTCAGCAGGCATCATTAGCCTTTACATGATAATTGTAACGTCTCTGAAATACACTGCAGCATTCTTAGGACAACACGCATCTCCATCTAGTGTCAGAGAGCTACCTCCCTGAGGGCAGGGAGGCAGCCATGCCAGCACTCAACACTGCCATTTTTACGCCTGTCCCACAGAAAAAGGGTAATTCATTCTCTAAGGAGGTTAACAGATCCAGGCAAAAAAAGTCCTGTCAGGAAATATGAGTAATGCCAGTTTGAACAAATGGCACGTATACCCTGTATCCAAGGGCAGAGCTACATGCAGTACGCTACGTGGCATATTGAAACACTGCTTTTTTTTTCCCTCTAGTGAGTTTACTAGATTATTGAAACTACTCACAAAATGTTGAAGCTAAATATTCATTTTTGTGAAAAGTATTATTGCTTCAGTATAAACATTATACAGCTGTGATAAAGACTAACATAATTTATATTGAAACTGAAGTGAAAACAAGCACTGCCTTGAATCACAGAAAAGGAATATCTATTGTCCTTACTTGAAAGGAAAATACATTACAGTTTATTACCTCAAATACATGACTTCCCCACATCCCACATTGGTGGTTTTTTGTTTTGGTTTGGTGTGTTTTGTTTTGGGTTTTGTTTTTTTTTTTTTTTTTACAATAATAATTCTTCCTTTTAAATTAACAGAGTAACAAATTGTTTTTCCAAGAAGGAGCTTTGGTCTCAGCATGCCTATAGAGATATATAGGGAGAACATGAGACAAAAGGCATGACCCAACAAACATCTGGAGAGTGCACTTTTTAGAGGAACTAAAGAGAGTATTTAACTATCATTAGTTATGCCAGACTCAAAGGACACTAGGCATCGTGTAAAGAAAGAGAGCCAAGATCTCACCCAGCTTCCACTGAAGTCTGTAGCGTTCTTCCCTGCAATACATACAACCATCCTCAGCTCCATTTTCCTCCTCTGTATCTTCTATCAATACTGACTTTGATATATTGACAAAACCAAAACAAACCCCCAAAAACTCACATCTCACTGGCTGTGCTTCCAGTTTTCATTATTTTGTTATTCAGAGTCATGATAGCTCAAATATTCTCAATCCAACATTTGCTGGGACAAATATATTGCATAAAAAGATCTAGCTAAATTACAAAGCAAATTTCTAGCAAAATCACATATGTAAAGCAAATTCCCAGAGAAAAAGTTCATATTGTGGTCTGGTTCACCCTCAAGATTCGGAAACAAAAAGATTTATATAAAAAATGCAGCACCATTTAACTGGGTTTGAAAAGTCATTCTTGCACCAATCTCCATGTCTTGAGCATTAAACCTGAGAGCTAAATATTTGAGTTTCGTAATTAGCATGAGAGAGCTTGAAGGCTCATCAAATATGAATCTGATATAAATGTTTTAAATTTATTAAAACTCACCAGAATATTAAGTTTTCAGACTTAGGTGGGTCACAATACTCTACCTGGGATTGTAAACAGATGTGAGGATAACAATTTCCCAATTCTCTGGTAAAGTAACAGGAAAGGATTCTGTACTTTTCTTTTTTGCAGATAAGGGTATTTCATGAAAAGATTGAGGAATACTGGATTATAAACACAAATGAGTACATACCTAATAGTAAGTTCACCATAGCTGTGGTTTTCTCTCTAAAACCTTCATCATTAAATTACTTAATCCTAATCCTTAACCTCACAAATATTTATCAGCGGGTAACTTAATGCAAGAAGATTCTTGATGAGCAAAAGTAGTTTATGTTGTAGGAGCTGAGCCTTTGGCAACAGACTGCAAGGCAAAGACCATTTCTTATGGTAAACCTCCTACTCTTACTGCAATATAAATGTTATCTAAAAATATGCACTAGCCATTTTTTAACAGTATCCAACAAGTAACAAACGGTAGCATGAACAAGTGAACTAAGATGTTGCCATAAAAGACAGTTGAGTGAAGACAGTCGTGCAGTCGCAATTGCTGATTATGCCCTTCTAACAATCACTGATGGTAGTTTTCTTAGAGAAAACTATTCTGGAGATTAAAAAAAAAAACACCACAGATGCTTCATCCTTGCTACACAGTGCCTTCATTTAGACCTGCATAGAGTTCTTGTGCGTGCCAACAGGCAAAACTACCATCTACCGCAGGAGCTGGGCTGTGGCCAGGAAAGGGTCATTTCAGTTCCAATCGCCTCTTGCTCTTCCTTCCTGCTTTACCACAAATGGAGTGACTAGTATGCAGCCCAACAGCCGTATGCAGCAAGCTGATGTCTCCTGCATGCTAACACCCTCATATTCACAATACTGACTTTTGGGGACACCAGGAGTCACTCTACATTTTTCTAGCAAAGAATCTGCTCCATCTTAAAAAAAAAAAAAAAAAAAAAAATCATCACTGTAGACACAAGCACTATACTGACATAACAGCAGTAGCTCTAGTTCAAGTAGTCTGCAACTTAAAGGTTATCACCCTTTCCCCACTATTCAGCTTGATACACCCCCACATCTACTCTACCAAAAATAGGATGCCCAGCCCTCTGCAAGACAGCATCTTTGTTTACTTCCACAAACCAACCTCACCAGGTTGTAAAACTCACCTCATTTGCCTGCCTGTGCAAACCTGGCATTGAAACATCCTCTAGAAAGGCCATTGTGCCAACACATAACCCAAATACAGGCCTTTCATATGGAAAGTCTTCAGAAATCTATTTGATCACGAGGAATTTCAAGCACTGAGTAAACCTGATGTTTCTGATAAATACCAAGGAGCCATCATTTAGATTAAAGAAAAAGCATAGTCCTGCCTTGCATCTGTATCCTGAAATATTTCTAGTCTTTTATCCTGATTTTGCTGTACTGTCCATAATGATACCACAACTCCTTATGTAGCATCTGTTCAACAATGGAAATCATTGGGGTTTTTCTAAGTTCCTACTGAGACACCATATCACAAGAATGTTTTAAAATAGAAACGTAAGTTGAATGAGCTGTGCCTGTATGAATGAATCGATGTTGATTCAAAAACAAAAGGAAGCCATGACCACATCATCAGAGGGGATTCTAGGTCTAAAATTCAACTAAAGTGAAAAGAAAAGCAGCATATGGAAAATGATGTGCAGATGTACTGCTCTCTGAGTTATATTCCTATAAGGAGGATTATCTGAGAACACATTTATATTGTGTGGCATATTTGCTGTATTGTGGGATTCCTCCAGAGAGTCGTATTTCAGCCCAATGAATTAGAGCAGAACTGAGTGCCATTGCTCATGTACTTACAGGTTGAAAGTTAAAGGTGCCCAGTACTCATGCCCTTCCACAGAGATCCTCTGTGCCAGAGATGGAGGAGCCAATTTTCTTCGTACATTGA